CCCAAAAAAAAAAAGGATGACATATCACAAACACAATAGTTAGTTGTTAGTATACATACATAAATATTTTTCTTACATTGCAACTTTGATATTTTAAGAAGAGTATCAGGTTTAAAATTGGTGTTTGTTATCAGCAGTCTTACCTTTTTATCAGTCCTACACAGGGATAACCTTTTTACATCAACCCATGACAAGCTTTATGTGCCATGTTTTATGAATGGATTTTTTTTATGTGTTACTAAAATGTTGTTTGAGGTTTTGACCATTTCAATAGCAGATCTTGTCAGAGGGGTGGAAGGCTTGAGGTTGGATTTATTTAATCCAATTAGATATACTATAACATGTAAATTATCTAATCATATCAGATACACCATTACACATTAATTATTTGATCCACTCTAATACATCGCTACATGGACAAGATCTTTTATGTTAACAAAGAGTCAATGTTTTTGATGCAGCATTGCTAAAATATTTTACTTGAATACCTTGTTTCTGTGAATAGTTTCTAATTGTGTAACCTTTTTTGGTTCAATTTTCCCCTCTGCCTAGTAGTTTTAGAGGAGTCTCCAATCTGTTATTGGTAGTAAGAATTGACAATGCTTCACTGACCGATTGAATGTGATATACATCCCTATACTGACATGGTCTCTACATTTCCTGTAAGTCACAAATGCCTTTACCCTTCATCTTTAGCTTTATCTTGTCGTGTTAAGGTAATCCCTTGATATTGAGCCTCTGTGAAATACAACAAGGTTTTATGTGTATGTTTCTATCTATATACATGTAATACATATCTGAGAAAAAAAACAACAGCTTTATCATCTAGGCTGCCTGCTCCAATTGTTGTTGTTTTATACAAAAATAGGGAATATTTTTGTACATGTTTTGATACAGGTCATGTATATTTCATTTTTCAGTTTCAGTAATAATCATAAAATATCGTCAATTGAGATTTCACATTAATGCGACGTATACTAATGTAACATGATGGAATTAAGTCATGTCTGCTAACTTAGATAATATCTATGCACAAGTTTTTTATGAGTGTTAAATAACTTTGATTAAGATTGTTACAAACATACATCATACAATATATACATATTTGGTGTACTATAGTTGACAGTATGAACTTTTTAATATTGTACCTATGTGCCATCACCACTTGTTTGCTGGTCAGTGCCAGTATAAGCCTGTAGATGTTATGATGAGAGTACTGTACGTTGTTTCCATGTGTCATGTGTTTTGTTGGTCAGTGCTAGTATAAGCCTTTAGATGTTATGATGAGAGTACTGTACGTTGTATCCATGTGTCATGTGTTTTGTTGGTCAGTGCCAGTATAAGTCTGTAGATGTTATGATGAGAGTACTGTACGTTGTTTCCATGTGTCATGTGTTTTGTTGGTCAGTGCCAGTACAAGCCTGTAGATGTTATGATGAGAGTACTGTACGTAGTATCCATGTGTCATGTGTTTTGTTGGACAGTGCCAGTATAAGCCTGTAGATGTTATGATGAGAGTACTGTACGTTGTATCCATGTGTCATGTGTTTTGTTGGTTAGTGTTATTTTAAGTAATTCAAGGTTAGAATAAGAGTACAACCGCATGTAATAAGTATGTTTTGTTAGTGATAGTAATTAGTCGTTTGGGATTCGCCATTCCTTGTTTCATTAATTGTTCTTATACAAGTTGATTGCAATGTAAATCTTTGAATAAGTAGTTGATGTAATATATTTAATTTTCCTTAAAACTGAGATTTTTTCATGAAAATGTTTTCTGAAATCTGCATGTTATTGTTAATGGTCATAATAATTGCTGTGAGCCAATATTTAAATTTCACATTGACAGGATCATTACTACAAGCAATACTTTGGTGTTAAACGTGTTGTGCTAGGATGTATCTGTCTCAGTTTAGATTTACCCGGTGTATTCTTTGATAGAAATTTAAACCAATTTTTTATGCAGATTTACCTTTAGGACTCAAAGTTTACACTGACATGTAAAACAGTAAACATTTAGGGACTTTAATATGTTTGGTGCACATTATGACAAACATTTTGATCAAATTCACTTTAAATGTTACATTTGTTAAATTAATGATGTGTTGATATATACTCACTCCATGTTGATGTCTGCAGATATTTGATTCAGATTAAAAATGTTACACAATATTTTCCAATGAAAGTAATTTTAATAGTTTTTATTTCCCCCCAATTCTATTCTCCTACACATTTTGTATGGTGTTTATTAGGAGTGTAGTGTGAATAAGGAATAAAGTGTATTATTTTCATTGACATACTTGTATGAAGTACATTGGTGAACAGACATATTGTATGAAGCAAGCTAGCATTATAAATACGCCTGTTTACCACACTTCATTCTCCCACCCTTCACAGGTGTGTCTCCCGTTTTAGCCTGGAAAGATCAGCTTGTCACCCCCTAGGGGGAGACAGCCTTGTGCCGATTAGCACGTGTTCAATTGTGATTAAAATGCGTCATCGGTAATTGTGACGTCATCAAAAGTGAATGAAGATATGCATACCCGTCATGTGTTTTTGTTTGCAAACATGGCAGACTACTGTCTGTGGAGCTGTGACTGAAATAAAAAGATGTGAGAAAATTAATCATCCCCTACCTTGAGGATGTAACAGAGAAATCTCCAACACTCGGGGTAATGTTTTTGGGTTTTCTAACCCTCGGGTTAGACAACCAAAAAACATCCCCCCTCGGATTGGAGATTTCTCTGTCACACCCTCAAAGTAGGAGAAGATCCTATTATTCCTTTTATTTTATGTTTCGAAGTCATGATACTGTGTATGTTGATTGAGTTAGAAGAACAGACCCTGGCTGATACCATCCAGTGGTGTTACATTAATGACGTCCCATGAGACAATAACATCACAATCACTGGAAACCAAATGCCAATGCATTCATGGTGCTATGAATGCAATAGGTCATTAATAATTCATCGTTAAAATTGAACTTTTCTGTCCTTGATATACCTATCTTCTCTACACCTATGGATATGTCATGACAAAATTGAAGCTGTTCACGTGACACCTTGAAGCTGTTCACGTGACACCTTGAAGCTGTTCACGTGACACCTTGCTGGTGATACAACTAGACTAATCTTCTGTCTATGATGAAGGTCAAGTCGGATGTCACTCCTTTGTAATTTTCAAAGGAAAATTACCAGCTTAGCGATTGGTCGGAAACCTAAAACCAATCAAATAGCATAGTGATACTGCAAGCCTACCATTTTGTCATGACGTTCCAAGGGTGCAGAGAAATTCTGTGTATTAAGAAGAGAACCATTAGATTTTGAAGGTGCTAGCTTTACTTTAGGCAATATATATATGTGTTCAGCAATTATATAGTGTGAGTATTTATTTGATAAGCTGTTTTTTGTAACTATCACAAACAGGTGATATTATGCAAAGTAATTGTTACTGCATTTTGTAGATGAAATGTTTCATTGTTTATGGCATATCAGACTGACGACACATGTTGGTTTGAATTTGTGTACATCTCCTATAAGTTAGATGCAATACTAGACAGTGCAATATAGATGTTACCTATCTTGCCTCCATTATTACAGTGAAAATATATGTTACTAACGGCGTGGTATAATTGATGCTATGGAATTCTATCACAAATATAAATTCAATAAAAGTATAGTATTCAAATCCCACATAATTTATGCATTTTTAGGTCACCTGAGCTTTAGCTCAAGTGACCTATTGCTATCCGTTTTCGTCCGTCGTCGTCCGTCGTCCGTCGTCCGTCGTCCGTTAACATTTTACATTTCAAACTTAAAGTCAAGTTCTGCTGGGCCGATTGAACTGAAAGTTGGTAGGAATGATCGCCTCATGGTCCTGACAAAGTGTTGTTATTTTTCGGGTCGATCAGAAATCCAATATGGCCGCCACGGCCGCCATTTTGAAAACCTATTTCAAACTTAAAGTCAAGTTCTGCTGGGCCGATTGAACTGAAAGTTGGTAGGAATGATCAGCTCATGGTCCTGACAAAGTGTTGTTATTTTTCAGGTCAATCAGAAATCCAATATGGCCGCCACGGCCGCCATTTTGAAAAACTATTTCAAACTTAAAGTCAAGTTCTGCTGGGCCGATTGAACTGAAAGTTTGTAGGAATAATCAACTCATGGTCCTGACAAAGTATTGTTATTTTTCGGGTCGTTCAGAAATCCAATATGGCCGCCACGGCCGCCATTTTGAAAAACTATTTCAAACTTAAAGTCAAGTTCTGCTAGGCCGATTGAACTGAAACTTTGCAGGAATGATTGACTGATGGTCCTGACAAAGTGTTGTTATTTTTCGGGTCAATCAGAAATACAATTTGGCTGCCATGGCCGCTATTTTACTACTAAGTTCTAAAAGGCCGATCTCACTTAAAATTGGTCTAGGAATGATCAGCTCATGGTCCTGACAAAGTTAAGTTAACATTATACTATTGTTTACTCAAATTGGTACATATTTCAACAACAAAAATGAATATTGTAGGACTCAGGTGACCGTTAAGGCCCATGGGCCTCTTGTTTTTAATATAAATCGACTGGAAAAAATAAATATTCGGTGCATATTTTTTTACAGTATATTTACTTTCCATACTTTTGTTAATCTATATATATGGATAGAACATACTGAAAACTTAACGATTGTGAAACTAAGTATAGCAGATATAAGGTGCATGTTATTGTACAGTATAGTACATTTCCATACTTAAGTTAATCTATATATAGATGCAGTAGAACACACTGAAACCTTAACGATTGTGAAACTAAGTGTAACATCTATACATGTATAATTATTAACCTGCGGAAACATAGCATGATACTACAAAATCATATCTCGTGTGTCTGATACTTTATAGTTTGATACAAATCGTACAAAACGAAATTGACATTTATTGCTGATCCTGTAGAGTCGGGGTTACTTCCCTTCTCCCGTTCAGCAGCCTTAGAATGTAGCAGG